TCATTGATGAATCCTTCACTTCAACTAAACCCTAAAGTTTCATCGTCTGAACGCTGAGGCAGACTGTTGCTTCACTGCTTTTTTATTTTATTACACATTTTCTGTATCTCTTTGAATCTGTTTCTCCAAACTCTGCTTGTTTTAGCTTGAACATCTCAACTTCTTCAGCATATTTCAGTGAAGTCCTTCAGATGTCAGTGTTCACTTTTTGTACAGAAAATGTGATTTATTTAGCTTCCTGTTGAGTTACCTTGATAATTTTACAACTACTTTGCAAACTTCACTTGATAAAGCTGTTCCACTTAAAAAGAAAGTAATCAATTAGAGGAGATTATCTCCTTGGTTCAATACTGAGTTACATACTTTAAAACAGACATCTGGACAGCTAGAAAGAAAATGGTGCTCCACTAACGTTGAGGAATCTTACTTATCCTGGAGAAATAGCCTTCAAATGTAAAAAAAAAGTAATGTAAAATTCTATCTGTTGATTCATGTATCCCTACAAGTATAAGCAGTGATGACTTCATGAGATTCTTTATAAATAAAATAGTTTCAATTAGGGAAAAGTTCAAACCAACACTCCTACTATCGCCTCTGGTTCTGTGTCAGATGAGACAACTTTAAAAATGTCACTAGAACTAGGGGTGCACCGATTTCAATTTTCAGGCCGATCACCGATCACCGATTTTTTGAAAGTCTGAACTGCCGATTCCGATTTTGGCCGATACCGATTTTTTTTTTATAAGCAACAGTGTCGGGTGTTACAAGATCACAATGCACCTTCAATTTACCAATCTTATTTTATTGTAAAACATACCCTTGAAAAATACCCTAGAAACAATACAAACTTGTTGTTTTAATTTGTCATGAGGTAGTATTCTGAAATATAAATGAAGTTTACACAATTTTTGTTAAAACTATAAAATTAACCAAAAAAAAAAAGTTCAGTTCCTTCAACTCTTTCACTTGTTACATTTTTTAAAAAAAACTTAAAAAGATAATGCAACAAGTGTAACATTTTCAAGTCAGTCGGTAATAAGAAATAACACTGGCACAGGTAAGTTAGTTCTCACAGACTTATTCCAGTCACTTTCATTAGTGGCAGGTTTTTCTTGATGAACAAAAGCATTTCTGCTTTGTCACCAGACAGGCGACTTCTTTTCTCATCTACTACATGTCCAGCCAAGCTAAACAGGCGCTCGCTTTCAACGCTTGTGCATGGGGCAGAGAGATAGGTTCGGGCAAGTAGAGCAAGATGAGGGAAACGATTTTCATTGATCTTCCAGTAGACCAATGGGTCCTGGCTCCTTTCGACAGGAACCTCAGATAGGTAGTTCTGTACCTGCATAGCTGAAGGGCTGGCCAGCTGTTGCTCCTGTTCAATGTTCTCCTTCAAGATTTCGTCGTGAGCTGCAAACAGTAGACTACGCCTTTTGGCTGCAGGTTCATCGATATCAGGAGGTCCCACTTCAGAGGATGTTCCTGCAGCAGGTGTGCATCTGGTCTCCCCCTCTGCAAGTTTGGTCAAAAGGAGCAGTTTCACGTCATCTTTCACCTCTGCTGAGAAGTAGCGATTCTTGTACCTTGTTTTGCATAAACAAAGAAAGATGGGTCAATCATTGTGTTTTGTATACATTAACAGTTTTTATGACTTGCATGTAAATAAAGAAATGCATTTCAATCAAGAAATTTTTAATTTAATTTAAATGTTTGTTGAAATATAGTAGTAGGCTAAAAGTAATTATGGCTAAAATAGAATGTTAATAGTTACTTGCCTTGGATCCAGAACAGTGGCCAAGCTGTACAGGGGCTCATGCTCAATGTTGCTGAATCTTCTCACAACAGCCTCCAGCAACGTAGCTTTGGCTGTACCCACGCCACGGTCTGTGCTCGCTTGCCTCTCTTCTCTCTTCTTTACAGTTTAAGAGTACTTGATGACGTTCGAACTGTTCGTAAATCCACTGTGCAGTAAAACTTAACATGGACATTAAACTTACATCAGAAGTCCAGATGTCTGTTGTAAAGCTGAGTGTATTTGTATTAGCTTTTAGCAGGCTGCGGGTGTCTCTCGAAACTTGGCTGAACAACTCCGGTAATGCAACATCAGAAAAATATTTCCGACTCGGCATATTATATCGTGGGCTCACGTGCTGCATCAAGCTTCTAAAACCTTTGTCCTCAACGACTGAAAATGGCTGGTCGTCTAATGCCATGAACTCCATCACTTTCCTCGTGGTAGCTTTGCTCTTTTCGTTGCTCATAAAAGCTAACAGCGACCCACCGACTGCCTCTTTGTTAGCGCTAGCTTTAGCATTAGCCTTAGCATGGTTGCTCGCTTCAAACATTGCATACTTGGCGGCGTGGTGATTTCTTAAATGGCGAACGAGGTTTGTTGTATTAAAGGTTTTGGTGGTGGCTCCACCACTACTTACTTCGGCTTTACACGAATTGCAAATTGCGATCTTTGGCTCATTTTCTTTTACAGCGTAGAACTTCCAAAACGACGACATGGCTGCTCCGAGTGACCTGTGTGTGAGCTCTCACAGTGGAGCAAAAGGGGACAGCAGCTGATTTTCAGAACTTTCCGGAGGCAGCTACGATCGGTGGATAAAATCGGCTTCTCATTTAAAGATCGGCCGATCGCCGATCTCCCCAAATTAAGGAAATCGGGGCCGATCGATCGGCCGGCCGATTTATCGGTGCACCCCTAACTAGAACCTTATTTATGTTTGGACTGTTTTTGTCCTGTTGAGCTCTCTGATTTGTCAAAAATAATAGCGTCATCCAAACCATCCACATGTCTGCTAGATCCCATCCCAACCAGGCTATTTCAGTACATATTTCCCTTAATTAATAACCACATCTTAGATCTGCTTAATTTGTCTCTAATAAAGGGTTACGTACCACAGAGCTTTAAGATTGCTGTAATTAAACCTTTAGTGAAGAAACATAACCTTGACTCTGGAATACTAGCAAATTGCAGTGAGTTAAACTAGGACCCATGTAACGCTAACATTAAGATATTAGTGTGTAGCTTTATTTTATGGCTATGTAGCTAGCTAAAATCAGAAGCTAACTAAAGATTGACAATAACAGATAAAGCTTAGCTTGTAAAAATGTGCACATCCATCTGGTCAGCTGGTTAAACATTTTACTAATGTTCACTGTTTATGTTTCTGTTCTCCTCGCAGGAGCCTCTGACCCTGATGTGAGGAGGACAGACAAAAGAAAAGTGAGGTGGGGGTCACAGGACAGTCACAAACTTTGTTGTTAAAAGTTTGCTGCCTTTTTCTACAGTGGAGGCTGCATGGTGGAGGTAAGTAAGCTGTAAATGTTTTTGTTGACCAGTTAAGCTTTTATCTCTCAGCCTAGATAATGGTTTTTGAGCAATAATAACACAACCATGTTCTTGTTGATGTTTTGTGTTCTCATGTCAATTAGGGAGATGAGAAGAGCTCTAAACCCCAGAGAACCACAGAGAAGATTCAGGAAGAGATACAGAGGTACAGAAGTCTGCCATCAACCCTAACCTCAGTGAATCCAGTGACCTGTTGGTGGAATGTGAGGGACAATATGCCAGTGCTATCAAACTGGCAACCAGGTATCTGTGTGTGCAAAAAGCATCATTCACACACTCAGAGCGAATATTTCCTACTGCTGGAGACACCATCAACCAGGAGTGGGCTTGTTTGTGTCCAGAGAAAGCAGACATGTTGATTTTTCTGAAGAAAAACTGTTAAATAAAAAGGTCCTCAGTGTGTTGCAGTGAGCATTAGACACTGATGTGTCACTGGTTTGAAACTGTTCTTTTGTCCTGGAAATTATTTGTTTATTTTTACGTAAGAAAACTGCTAGGAATAGAAAAATACCAACGTTAAAAAATAAAACTCACAACTTGTACTGTAATGTGTAACATAATTTTCTTCTTGTTAGAATTAATATTAATTACAAAGCTGGTATCGAAAAAAGAACCGTCCAGGAACTGACACCGACTGTTTTCATTGGATACCATTACTATCTTAACATGGGACTCTTGACCTGCCATTGTGTATCTGTTCCTACCAAACCCAGCTGGTCAAAGCAGATGGCTGCTTGTCCTGATCATGGGTCTGCTAAAGGTTTCTTCCTCATGAGGGAGTTTTTCCTTTCCACTGTCGCCTTCATGCTTCAAAGCAGTCTGCTCCTCAGATAGTGTTAAATTATTATTGTATAAATGAATGTTTCTGCTGACTTATTATTTTTATGTTTCTGTTCAGTGCCCTGAGACTTCTGGTGTGACTTGACGCTGTATAAATAAGTTGAATTGATGAAGAGGAGTTTGTGTTAAAACTTCCTGTAGAAACTGTGAAACAATAATAATCTGAACTCACCTGGATTAAAATCAGATGTTAGGAAAGAAAAGATGAACTCAGGATGTTCTTCAGACAAACTCTGATAAGTTTGTTTCAGCTGCAGCTCTGCTCTGACAGAAAAACGTTTCTTTTCGTTTGCTGAATGTGATTTTCAGTTCGTTTTACTTCTTCTCCTCCTCAAACTGGGCAAAGATTACATCACCACCTGGTGTTGGGGTATAGTAACTGAATTCACAACACTTTGAAGAGTTTAGATCAACTTTATCTGCTTCTTCTTCTGGCTTTTCCTCTTCAGGGTCTCCACAGCGACACTCACACACTCCCTGTTTTTTGATGACAGAACAATTTCTGTTGACTTTATTTGAGTTTTTATTTCACATTCATCACACTTGATATTTACAGCTATGGTCAGAAAAGGTGCAGATGAAACATCTGAACCGAAATTAATGGAAAACTCAAGAGATTGAAAAAGAAAACAATTTAGAGCTCAGATTTACTCTAAACTGGAAGCTGAACGTTCCAGAGAAAATGTAAAATAAATAAATAATGATCACATTCTGTATTTGAGAGCAAAACAAACCAAATTAATGCGGAGAAATGGAATGAATCCAGCTGTGAACTGAAGTGTTTTCTGATTCTTTATTCATGAAGCTTCAGAGGAAACATCTGGCTGACAGGACAGATGATCAGAGGAGCTGAGTTGTCACCTTTATCATTATCATGAGGACTGAAGATCGGGTAGAGTTGTTGGGAGAAGCAGCAGCCAGTAAAGGAGTAGATCAGAGCTGCAGCATCAACATCATAAAAGGAGACCAGACCCTCCTCATAATCCACAAACACCCCCACCTTCTCAGGACCAGACTGGAGACTCAGATGGACTGAAGGACCAGCAAGAGCTTTGTACTCGTTTCCATTTCTCAACCTAACAGTCCAGAAACCATTTTGAGGACTCGCTGTGAGGGATCTCTTCCTGTTGATGGACTCTCTGGCCACTCCTAAAGTCCAGTGAGTTTTTCCTTTAACCTGAACCTCAAAGTAAAATCTGCCTGAAGAGAAACTCTGAGTCCCAAAAACAGAAACACTGTAAGAAAATCTCTCTTGATAGACTGGAA